AAGACCTATGACGTACCAGAGTTGTTTTTCTCTTGTGTTTAAAAAAACATGTATGTACAACTTCCAAACCGTACACACAGTAATCGATTTCAATGCTGTAAAACATGCCACGTGGAGCACCTATTAACTTAGATTACGAAGAGCAAACACTCCCGGACAAGTGGCGATGAACATAGACAGAAGCAGAGGGAGATGGAGATCGGTAACAGAACCTCAGCCTCTGCTGATACTGCCGTTGAGACACTGCTTTTATGGTTCGCACAGTAAGCCGCTTTGATTGCGATCCATATCCCAAAGGAGCCAAGGAAATTCAGTCCGATCTGGAACGAGTTCCTTCTTGCTACATAAATCCAGAAAGAAAGGTAAACGACCCTGGAAGATTGGTAACTCGGGGCTTATGTCAATGATAAGAAACAAATGCATTTCTCTGTACAAATGACGACCAATGATTTCTTAGAAACGAATCGGAGTCCTTTGTACTTGGAATCTTTGGATGAAGCTGGCGAATTTCATTTACCTATATTGCTCGTTTGTGTGCACGGAGAAATAGGGGTATTATCTACATGGATATATTTCACGTTTTATTGCACTGGAATGTAGATGTGGCACTGCAATTGCGGGTTAAGCAAAGTATCTCTTAGATGACTTGCACACAGAATTTAAGCATTTTAAACAAATTTCATGAACTGATATTTATTCGTATTTTACTTTATATTTCAGCAGTTTTGTGAGAATTAGTTTCACAGTTTGACGAAATTTTCAAGTGAATTTTGACGTAGATGACGAAAACGTTAAATCACATAGCGAAATGTGTTGCAACAGGGGTTTCAGTTCATATGCACTCGTGTCAATATTGATAATAAGGGTAACACCGCGAAAGGTGTGTTATATCGACAAAAACAGATGCATCAATACTTGAACACAGAAATGACATGCTTGGTTATTGATCAACACCCGTGACAGGACATAACGACGGTCGTCAGTCAAGTCGACTGTAGTATAACGGTACCTCGTTTGAACTATGTACACGGATAAATCGAAAGTCGATTAGTCTTGCTATTTTTAAAGGGTTTCATTTCGCTAACGGTATAGGTTTAAATGGAAAACCGTGACTTATGCTTAAGCATTATTAACGCTGTTAGGAACAGGTTGATAGCTAAACGAACCTGTTACCGCCAACACCTGGTGTCATTACTGATTTGCTGTGATCAATCACTTTGATATTTACCGTTCGCGTCCAAATAGAATCAGTTTCGGTGTTTAATCGTGATGAGTTATTCACATGAGTTGACTTTTTTTATGTTTACAGATTGACATATTTTTTAAAACGTGTTGATCTAAAATACCGTTCATTATCAGATTCTTGAGAGGCATATAGAAGTTGGTATTCAAGTATAAGACAAAATGTTATGGATGTCAACTTCTTCTTTATTCTATACACAACGTTTCTGGGCTTTTCCTTGACCTTTTGTCAGGCGAGTGGTGAAAGGCAATAGAATTTTGTATTCAGGTATAAGACAAAATAGTATGGATGTCAACTTCTTCTTTATTCTTTACACAACGTTTCTGGGCTTTTCCTTGCCCTTTCGTCACCATTCACCTGACGAAGGGGCAAGGAAAAGACCAGAAACGTTGTGTATAGATAAAGAAGTTGACATCCATAATATTTAGTCTTATATTCTGATCATTATCACACTATTCTCTCTAGATTATCAACCATAACATGTTTAGTTAATATATGTAACTAATTCCTAGTTAATGCCGACACCATACATCTACTATAGTGCATCCGTCTAAGAATGCTAGAGTATGGTTCGCGAAGAGATGACAACAGGAGTGGTCGGTTGTACCTTGTACTTAATTGTGCTCTTGTAACGTAGGTGTGAAAATGTGACCAAATGTTATGCTGTTCATATGAATGAGACGTACCCATCTCTCACCACCCCCTCTCTCTCTCCCTTTCCCTGTATGTCTTTCTCTTTCTCTCTGTCAGTTCATCCATCTAATTGTCTCTCCATTGGCCCACTTCTTTTTCACTGTCTCTATCGCTCGCTCTCTTAACTTCTACCTCCTCTGTCTCTGTCTGTCTCTCTGACCGCCTCCGTGGTGTAGTGGTTAGAGCATCCGCCCGGAGTGCGGAAGGTCGCGGGTTCGATCCCCGACCGCGTCATACCAAAGACGTTAAAATATGGTATTTGTTGGTCCCTGCCTGGCGCTCGGCATTAATGGGTACAACAAGGACTGGTCGGCTCAGAGTCAGTATAATGTGTCTGAGTGGGGTATTCATGCTTCACTGCGGCATGGTATCTCAGTGAGCTAGCACTATTAAAACCAGCTTCAGTCTGGGCTAGTACAAGCAGCCGCACCTACATATACACACGCATGCACGTCGTCATATGAGCGAAATATTCTCCAGCGCGAGGTTAAACCCAATTTCACCTCACCTCACGTGTCTGTCCCCCTTTCTGTTTCTCTCCCCCCCTCTCTCTCTCTCTCTCACACACACACACACACACACACACATACATACATACATGACACTTCACGATGTAACACACACAACACATGCCATGTCAAATAGTGCAAGCTGTCGCAATGTCCTAAAATTTTATTGTATAACTCGAACAAAGTTTTAATATTAGCGTAAACAAATCCTTATAATCCCAAATACATCATGCTACCTGGCACACGCGTGTGTGAGTCACGACTTGTGATACGCGACAAAGCCAGATGCTTCACAGTGATTGTTCTGCCTTTCTATCAGATAGCGATCTACTGATGCGACGTGTTGCACTGAACATATGGACGTTGCAGGTCAAACGTATCCCCCAACCTAGACAAGAAGATATACTGTCCACATCATGCGTACCATTGTTCCCAACCGTGACGTGAAATTGTTCGTTACCGTTCCATTCAAACATTCCAAATATCGCCAGCGGGACGCAAACACTTCGCGTAACGGTGGCGGGCAGGGAATGTTCGTTTAAAATGTAATATGCACGCGACATTGTTTAAGTAATCAAAATAGTCAGCACTGTGCAGAAGTACGTATTGAATTTGGCCTGTCTACATGGTTTTTATAAGATTGTTTGTTTGTTTGAAATGTGAATTCAAAGTGTTACCGAAAAACTATGTTCAGTACATTTCTGGCGCTCCGCATCTGTGGTGAGGCTGAAATATTGTTCACCTGATTTAAACACTTCCGTACACCTACATACTATAGTATACTAAAAAACATGAGCATGTACCTTTACACAATAGTTTTTATTTTGTGCTTAGCTCCTGTATATGTTGGGGCGGTAAGGGTAGCCTAGTGGTTAAAGCGTTGGCTCGTCACGCCGAAGACCCAGGTTCGAATCTCCACATGGGTACAATGTGTGAAGCCCAATTCTGGTGTTCCCCGCCGTGATGTTGCTGGAATATTGCTAAAAGCGGCGTAAAACTATACTCAGTCAGTCAGTCCTGTATATGTTATGCATTCTCTCAATGTCTCTAGTGAGTGAGGGAGTGAGTGATGTTTTACGCCGCTATTCCAGCAATATCACGTCGGGGGGCTCTAACAGAAGGCAGGTATATAACCGTATTTAGAAAACAATGACATAAAGTCCCACGTGTATACAGATACCATGGGCATAGACCTGTGTGTAAGGCTACACCGTAAATAGAAAGACAACATTCTTTTCAACATCCATAAGAAACCTCTGGTAAGAGCAGATTCAATTGGACAATTCTGAAGATATGTTCGTTTGACACCAACGATATGTTCGTTTGACACCAACGATATGTTCGTTTGACACCAACGATATGTTCGTTTGACACCAACGATATGTTTGTTTGACGCCACATTCAGAAGTACTACATCTGTGCGACGCGGTCTGTAAGCATTCTAGTCTGGAACAGACAATCTGTACCCTATATCTTCGGAATGAGTTTGTTTGTGCTTACATAAATGCCGATGAAACTGTATTAGAATACAGAAACACATATAATGATCAGACACAAGTATTTTACAGAGCTGAACAATAGAAACAGTTGATATAAAATATCACATGACATAGAACTTTACAGAAACTCGGATAAGCGTCTCTTCGTATACAGACGCACTGAGTATAGTGACAGTGCTGTAAATGATCCACTGACGATACTAACACGTTGGAACTTTAACATGAACTGCTTTCAACTGCAGGAGGGGAGCGTCGTTGCATCCTTGCGTACTTGACGGTGGCGTTTGCTCACAGTGTATATTACAAAAGCGTCACTGCGATACAGGAACAGTATACAACTGGAACCTCTAACCTCTGCGCACGGGACGGCCTATCTGTGAAAACACTCCCTCGGAAATAATATTTGTGTAACCTTTAATTCAGTTGATTGCGCATCCGGGCACTATAAATCGAAGGATGTTTGATGATTGTTTGTTTTACCTGAGTAATCCTTTCGTTGAGTACTACCTGATGTCCAGGACGACTTTAGATATCAACACTGAGTTGTTTTAGATTTGTTGCACAGTATGACGAATCTTTTAAGTGATATTTAGAACAAAAATGACAAAACGTGTAATCACATATGAAATGTGTTCAACAGGGGTTTCAATTCATATGTCTACTCGTTGAGTATTATCTTGATGTCCTTGAAGGCAACTTTACATTTCAACACTGAGCAATTTTAGATTTGTTGCACAGTATGATGAATTTTTAAAGTGAATTTTAGAACATATACGATGGAAACATTTAATCACATAGGGAAATGTGTTCAACAGAGGTTTCAGCTTATATGTCTACTCGTTGAGTATTATCTTGATGTGTAAGATAGAAGCATAGTACTGCTGCGAATCCTTAAAGTGATATTTAGAACATAAATGACGGAAACTTTTGATCACATAGGGAAATGTGTTCAACGGAATTTTCAATTCATATGTCTTCTCGTTGAGTATTATTTGGATGTCCTGAAAGATAGAAGTTGAGTACTGCTGTGGCTAATAGTAAGAAAAGGACACCTACCTTTCTCTTGTTTCTGCTCCGGACGTCTTCTGTTGGGTTGGTATTTCCGGGAGCTCTTGCCCCCCAAATATAACATCCGATGCGGAAGTAGCAAACACTGATTACTAACAGAGGCACCATGTATTGTACAAGAATTATGTATAAGTTATAGTAGAACGGGAAGTTTTTCAGTTGTCTTGGGAAATCAAACTGACACGTATCCTTATCAACCTTGTAGAACAGCGCACAAGGAAGTCCCGACAGAATGGCAAACCACCATATCGCCGTAATGATGATGGCGGCGGAACGTTTGGAGCATCCGGCTTTGAAAGGATGAAGCACCGCGATGTACCTGTCGACGGCGATGACGCTTAGCGTGATGATACTGACGTTGACGGAGATGATCTGCACGAAAGGAGCAAGGGAGCACATGAAGTTGGCTAAAACCCATCGCTGTAGCAACGCTGCTTGAAATTGAAATGGAATGCTGAACAGACCGATGATGACGTCGGCCACGGCGAGATTGGCGATGAAGATGTTGGTGACTGTGTGCATGCGGCGGTTCCTGACGATGACGAGGATGACGAGGCCGTTGCCGATGACGGCGAGGAGGGATATGGAGCCGTATAAGAACGCCAAGAGGAATATGAGTCCTGGAGGAACGTCATATGCCTCGTCTTCAATCGTTACATTCTTCTCCGGCAACGTCAGATTATACAACGTGTGAGGGAATGACGTGTTGGTTGAAAAACTCATGGTATCGCGCTTAGATACCTGTTTCCTTTAAGCAGGGATTTAGATCTTGATAAACATGCTTAAAAGTACAAAGCCGGGGACACACGGGGTCTTAAAAGTTCATGGCGAAGAAGACGTTACAGATATTGAAGATGTCATATCCAAAGATGTTCTGTTAAAATGTCCTACCACTTAGAAACACTGTCTTCAGATATCCGTTTCCTGAGATTTACACCATGCACATGTTCATCCGTGACGTTAAACATCGTGGGACATCTGTTCCAGTCAGAGGACGTTATACCTGACGTTGTAATGTCATTCCACACTTGTCTCGCTGTCTCTATGTGGGCAAATGTTCAAACGGACGACTGATGAGTGAAAACACATCTCAACACAACACTGACCTCAGTTATTTCATGTCCATGGATTATCCTTACAGAGTGAAACACGTGAACTACACTGTCTTTTGCGACCTGACATTTAACAGACTTTCAGGGCAGTTATTCGTTTTAGAACGCAATTATTTCATTCGACGTTTGAATAGATAAATAATTACAATTTCAAAACAAAATTGATACAAGAAACGTAATTTTCTCCTTCGAGGCGAAATCCAATTTGTAGGCAAAAATGTCAATAAGATAAACAGTAAATTGTGATTTAATATGGTAACCAATTAACAAAAACGGTTGTATACGAATTAAATTGCAAGATGCCAGTAAGATTTAATCTTTCTATAAAATGAAAAACAATATTGATCAGCATGGACGATTCCATTACTCGGATAACAAATATCGGATTTCGAGAACTAAGAGGACCTGTAATGTAGGAAGTTCATTAAAACAAAATTGTCTTGAAGTACATGTACCTCCAAATTCTGTAGACTCTTCCAGTTCACAATTCCTTCGATATTGTACTCTCCAACGCTCCACCGTTTCCGTCGCAATTCCTGCAGAACTTTGACAGGGCTTTCTCAACGTTGAGAATATCACATTTTCATTCACTGGTCTCGTTCCGTGGATTACATAAAATTAAGAGATGAATTTAAATCACTCTGTAAATAACTTCCCTAAAGTTTAACCTCACATGATCTGCCGTGACTGGCCTGTGCCAAACTGCCTCGACCATAGCATAACCCTCACGGATCAATACCTCGTATCACGTGACTGTGACGTCACCTAGCGGAGCCTTCTCCGCGTTCGCTGGCGAAGGCGCCCAGCATATGATAAGAAAACCCGTTAAGTTTCCCAGTGTATCTCAGCTCGTGGGGCTGAGACTATGCTTTCCAGGAGATTTCTAACTTTTAAGCGACGATGCTGGATTTATCAATATCTAAATGAGAACAGAAATTCGCAATGTAAAATTTTCTCAACAATTTTGTATTCTTATTGAACAGCTCCCGTTTTCGTGGATATCGATTTCGCAGCAGATAGAGACATTGTGCCACGTAGTCTTGCGGGAACACCTTCCCCAAAGAGGATCTTCCTACATCTGTGAAACTTCTAAAAGTGAAAAATTGCACGTTGAATCTTTCCAGCTTGTATATTCAAGCTTGACGCAAGATTATGCAGATTATGTAGGATTACGACGAACTAGTATTCATTCTCCAGCAAGGTAATGTCAGAAACTGACATTCAGCTACAGATGGGAGATGGATGGGATTGAATGGTTGTGTTTGTGGTGACGTGTGTCTGCGGGAGTAAATATGATGCCAATTCGCATTTTTCATAATCATTTTACAGTCTGCTATTGCAACCCGATGACAAGATTGCTGTGAGTTTTTTTCTCCATGAATCCTGTAAACACCACCAGATCTCTCCAACATGTTCCATATTAATGTCCGCTCGGGTGACACTATATTTTTTAGACGAACGAACTCGCCATAATTTGGAGTATCGGTTTTGAAAAACACAACATGTAAACAGAACCATTCATCTTAGCAAATATAGGAAGATAACAGTAAAAACATATTTTCATAACCATAAATATTCAGAGGGATACACAAAATACGTGATTTAGAAGAGAAGGTGTCAGACTTCGATTTTTGTGGAAGCTGCGCTGGTTGAGTGGGTTAGATCGCTGAGTTTGTGGTCAGGCGATTAGGTGCTTACTCTGAGAGTGTAGGTTCGAATCCCGAATGGGAATGAACAACCCAAAAAAGACTAGAATCTGTATTCTACAGGGAAAGTTTTATCCTATATATAACATATATTACGCTTTCACGCTCACAAACTATTTTCCATTATTCATTGCCTGAAGCACGTTTGAATCAATCACAATAAGACCGTCACATTTTCAATTTCGATTCGTCCAGAATTTTAATAAGAATCCGACTTTTATAACCACCTAAGAGACAAGCGGCAAGAATTAATCTACCTTGTGAGATGTAAATCTATTGATGACACATACACGTGACTTAAATTGCTTGACACCTGTGACCGGACGCGCAAGTCACCTGGCTAGCCTCCCTTTGACCCTCCGAGGTCGATTCATGGCCATGCGCCTTACGCGTTATATGTTGACCTCGATCAGGGCTGATGCTAATAACGACCATGCCCCTAACGTGAGTAATGGTAACTGAAGCCAGGAGTTGGCGGAAACGTATTGACCTGTCCAGTTCAAAGCGCTACAGTAGTCGTTGTACATGGCTTTTAACACATACGGTGGGTTGATACATCGCTCACAGATTTCACAGACTATGGGTCGTTAAGAGGACGACCAAGGAGAAAGGAATTTTGGACGGGACATATTTCAAAATCAGGATAACAGCCCCTCTTTGTGAAATTAGAACGACTTTGAAAATATATGAATGATTCAATTGTACAGTAATGTATGTGCAAATGTTTATTTGTTTATTATTTAACGACACACTCAGCATTATATGACGGCCGTCTGTGAATAATAAACCTGTGGGATAGCCTAGTGGTTAAAGCTTTCGCTCGTCACGCCGAGGACCCAGGTTCGATTCCCAACATGGATAGAATGTGTGAAGCCCATTCCTGGCGTGATACTGCTGGAATATTGCTAAAGGCGGCGGATTAACTGTAAATAATCGAGTCTGGACCAGACAATCCGGTGATTGACATCATAAGTATCTCACCATCCAACCTAGTTAGCCGCCTTACAACGGTTGCTGAAAATCAATTCTTACTTGGCTCTTCATGGGTGTTTACAAGGCAGACAAGGACCATTAACTAGCTTTATCCTTCCTTAAGTCGCTTCATGCTTTCACTTGGATATAGGATATAGTACAAACGTGTAATAAGAGAAGTCAAAAAGATGAATAATAATAAGAGTATTTATATAGCGCTGATTTCCTTCACACAAGGGCAATGCTCAAAGCGCTGACAAGTCACAGTTCATATGTACAAGAAAATACATGGATTTATGAAACATACCGTTGAAAACATTGTGTGTTTTGAGACTGTTTCTGAAGAGTGGCAGGTTTGGTACTAGTTTTTGATCAAGAGGCAGAGAATTAATTAACTCTATAAAAAAAACGTTTATCCCGAAAAGCATCTAAACCAAATTGTTTTACAGTTGTTTCCAATATCTCAAAAACCGTAGGTGTGTGAAAAAAAACTGTTTACGTCCAAATATGAGAAAATACTTTCTGCATTTTAAAAGATCAGCCTTTTCAACACAGTTTAAACATACCTGGACTGCTGAGTTGCAGGTGAAACAGTTGAGAAGAGAAGGGTACAATTCCCATTTGCATGAACACATTCAATGTAGTTCATAATAGTTATGTAATAGATGGCTCATTTCGCAATTAAGGAGACCCCGTTGGCTTGATCATGCTTTGACCCTGTTTTGGAGACGACTAATGTCGAGGTCGTATGGCTGTTCTTTCAATAACTCGGTAGTCAGGTTCAAACTCGGAGTTAATAGCCCCGAAAATAATTCCCTTTTCTGACTGCGCCGTAAAGCAACATACATTTTCTTCTTACCATGCCAGGGGCGGTGGGGTAGCCTAGTGGTTAAAGCGTTCGCCCGTCACGCCGAAGACCCGGGTTCGATTCCCCACATGGGTACAATGTGTGAAGCCCATTTCTGGTGTCCCCCGCCGTCATATAGCTGGAATATTGTTAAAAGCGGCGTAAAACTGAACTCACTCACTCTTACCATGCCAAGACCCTCAAATTTATATGAATGACCGTTTCTTCTAACAAATAGTATCGTTGGATTTCTATTGTTCGTCTTCCGTCGGAACCAATCAATGTTTGGATCACGTTTCAGTTTCCATGGCACCATGCATTATAAGGCATAAAAAAGTTGTTCGAGAATAACATAGAACTAATTTTAGGTTCCACCGGATAACGGCTTTTGAAATTTGAATAAAAAGTAAGGGATTTTTCGACCATGTGGTCTTTTTTGCTTTTTTGCTTGTTCTGTAAGATTCATTGTCCAGAGACACGTAGGTTTTGCATTAAAAAACTGTGTGGACAATTAAAAAGCATGATTGAAATGTGTCCGGAGTGCAGACAGTAGCGCAGCTGTACAATATGGAAGTGAAACAAGTCGTTCCTGTTTCTTAATGCCGCCGGACAAATTGTGTGCTAATTTCTTACACGTGTTCGACATTTTGTACATTTTCCTTGTATCAACTTTTCAAACTAAACTGATGCTATATTTGTTTCACAAAACTAGCGATCTTGTAAATAGAGGATTCTAAACAACCTTCCGTGTAATACCATGTTTATTAAACGAGATAATGATTTGGTATCAAACGAGCGAAAGCTAGATACTAAATCTTTCACGAGTTTAATAAAAATGGTATTTCACAGAAGCGAGTTTAGTATTCTGTTTATTACTCTCCAACATAAATTGATAGAAACTGCCTATAGTGTGATGACTCTCAGCTTTCCGCGAGTCAAGCAAGGTCTAATACCATTGCGACAGAGGCATTGTGACGTTATAATTGTAAACCATTATGACGTCATACGTCAAGCGATATTACACTAGTGTAATATTGCCGTAAAAATGTTACACAGCAGTATCTTCCACGGGCGAGTAATAACTAGCGATATTCATTGAAACATCGTTATGTCGAACTACTGGTGTCTCGAAGTAAACAGTTGTCCTTTCATATGCGTATTTTATTCATCATTTTTTGTTCTGTCGAACTTCGATAACTCGAGGTATTTACGTAGGGTCCTTCAACTTCGACACAACGTTGTTGGATTCCCCTGTGAGGAACTCGAGATGGAATATATCTCAAGCATACTAAGCTGGTTGTAATTGACGTTTAACTGGGTGATTACTTGTCTCTTGGCATTTGGCAGTCTTAGCAAATTTGAATCAAATTAAATTTGTTTTTCAATAAATTAAAATTATATGATATATCTTTGTTTAATTTGTCGCCGTAGTCAACAATAGTTCACCTGACAGTCTCAAAATAATCAAAACTGGACCAGACAGTCTAGTGATTGACAGATTGAGCATCGAGACCAACTCAGCGAGCCAGACTATCGGATCTTTTCTAACCTGGATCTTCACGACGTACATCCATTTAA